CTAGAACGTTTGCAACCACTCTGCACGTGGCGCTCGAGCTTCCTGGAAACGCCTTCTTGCTGAGCTAGTCTTGTCCTTTCGAGCATAAATGGGCTGTTCCTGTCCTTCACCTCCGTCACTTTTGGTGCTGAGTTCCGCCTACGATTTCTGACCGATATCATTTCTCCATCACCCGCTGAACAATCCCTCCCCCCTCTTAAAATGCGAATGATTTTCCCAGCCATTTTTCTATGAGGCAGCAATGCATGTGCCCCGTCTGGCGGGACGTACCCGCCTGCCAATTCGCAACAAAAACATCCAGGGAAAACGCTTAGTGTGGAAGACCTGTTTTGCCTGGATGTACTTTTTGCGGAGATGCAGGCTGGTTCATCCCGCCAGACAGCGCATGGATGCCTGCATGATAGAAAAATGGCTGGGAAAAGTACTGGCAGTTGAAAAGTGACCATCACAAACTGGTTGGGCTTGGGGCATCTGGCTGCAATTACGGAAAGATTCATAACGAAGTATGGATAGTAGAAAAATGGCTGGGAAAAGTACTGGAGGTTGAAAAGTGACCATCACAAACTCTTTGTTGGGCTCGGGGCATCTGGCCGCAATTACGGACAGATTCATAAATGAAGTCGTTGCGGATATGAGCTTTACTCAATTGCTCTTCCTCAGTGAAGGTACCAATCATAAAAAAGTGCCCTCTCCACCAAGCGCCCTCTCCACCAAGTGCATTTCCATCCCGCACACCAGGACGGATATTTTTCATCGTCACTCTTTGCGCACAGGTCTGTGATTGTAAGGGGGGTCAGCCGCCACTATTTCTTTCCCCAGCTGCCAGAAATATTTTGACGACTGATTAGTACTGAGCATATGGACGTTATTTCATCTACATGTGCCATAGGGCCTTTCCTCTACACAAAACTCTACATGTACCTGGAGCTCATAAACAGTCCCCAAATGTTGAACCCCTCCGAATGCACCTGTTCTAGAAACGAGTCCAGATGCACGTAGAATGCTGAGTAATGGAGCGAGGCCCATATTAATGCTAAGATCGCATGAACCCGTCCACCTTCATGACCAGGCTCACACATTCTATGTACAAACACAGCATCACTGGGGCCTGCCTCTGAGCTCACAGTCACAATTAAGATGAGGCTCATCATATCCAACTAGCTAACCTCGCCCCACAAACCCCGGAGGATAAAAACCGGTCCCTCTTGGTCCATCCCTATGCAATAGCAACGAAGGCTGATCTGGCCAATGACCCCCTATGGACAGCTCTCACGAGGCTCTAGAAAGACATTGACCCTTACAAAAGCCCCCCCCCAGGAAGATGGCATGAAGTCTGGCGACAACCATGCTTTGGAAATCCCTCCATCTGCAACCAACAACAACGGCCCCTGTCAATAAAGCAGGACTCTCATTGACTGTCTTGGGCCAAAAAAGGAATATTCACGATCGGGAACCTGTGGGACGTCATAAAAAGTACCTGGAAATCCGCAGCACAACTCCGACACCAGCGAAACAACATCCGGAACCTGGACGATAAACTGGGACAGCTGCAAGAGGCCATACCCCTATCTTGGGTACGAGCTCTCGAACAAGGCCCGTGCATTCGAGAAGGGGACTGGGTAACAACAGCAACCTCTTGCCGCCTCCCCATGACAGTGCATAAAGTGAGAAACCTTGCAGCAGAGCGAGCGCAACTAGAGGCATATGACCCGATCATGCCTGGTGCACGATTATCCGGATTGTCCAGGAACCAGGACCTGGACACACAAATTGCTTGGGCCGGCCTAATCAGAATCAGAGTGCTCACGACAACCTGGCGTGCCCGGTGTTCCCACGAAAGGAAAGAACATACCTTTCGTTATCTCCAGGCAAGACAACACATATTAGATAAAATAACACATAGCATCCCAAAAGCCTGGGTGCAACTAAAGGATTCCTCGGTGACAATAACAGACCGGGCACGAAGAGACGAGCAGCTAACTACCTTCTAACACACAAGGCTAGATCCAGGTAGGCAGATTGCACAGGTCGATGACACCCCCTGCACCTACAATGGAAACCCTGGTGGAAGGATACTCACAGGTGGAAATGGAGACCGCGATCCGCCTTTTGCCGGCCGATGCAGGGAGCTCCCATAATGGTGTCCCTCCCGGGCACCCACTTCCATCGGGCACAATCAACTAATGGCCAGAATCAGCCTCCACAATTCCCGCCCCTCGCCGAGAACATGGAATCCCAACCCCAACACATCCCACCTGCATAAGCTGACCTTCC